AGTATCTTTGTTGCTATATCATTGTGTATGTAAAGGATTTTTTGGTACCAAATATTCACACTTTGTACGGGAAAAGGGACATTAAAACGAAGAGTTTGATTAGGTTTGAATATCCCCACATCGTTACCCTCTCTTTGAAATATTTCTACATGTAGACCACAGGTGCTTGAAACAATGTACTGTACAGTCCTGCATTTGCTGTAGATTGGCCATCAAGCCTGGTTTTATGCAAACAAGTTGTACCTGTAAAATGAGGAACTGATCTGTGGTGTATTAGAGCGTACACATGTAATTGTTCAATGTAGGCATCATCTCTGTTAAGGTGTGTTGTGGTACAAAGTTCACCCCATTGAAAGACCTAAGTTGCTTCTAAATAGATGCTGTGTGCTGTAAATATTCTATTATGTATCCCAGACCAAAATTTCACATAGCGTGTACCTTGTTATTTAATCAAAACTTGAGATATAAATGTTGTGATTTCTAGAGTAGCATTTTATGTAAAGAAACATAATACTTCCACGGCAAGAAAGAGCTCCTCATACTTTTGCGAAAAGTAAGATGAAAATCCCAGTCTTATGGAACATGGCACAGGCATGATAATTATTGTGATCCACTTTGTATTTCCTCTCCCACAAATAAATCACACTGAAAAGTTGAATGATTAACAAAACAAAAAACCAAAAAAAATCCAATATGTGGGGCCCTTTGAGATCAGATCCCTGTAACCGTCAAGTCCTGTATTAAGGCCACAATTCTGATTGGATGTACCTCATTAATGAAAAAATATTGTTTGGTTCATATATCTGCTACCAGAACACAATCCAGTGATCACAATTACTGGGATTTTATTTTTTCTTACAAGGAAGACATAGACTAGATGTATATTTATACGTGTACATGTATTTGTAGATATATTTCACAGCATTACTACAGTATGTCGTTTTGGCAAGCATATTGGCCCAGCTTGGGTGATTTATTGCTCAATTTGTAATAAATGGTGAACATAATTACGAAATATCCTCAAAATTGTCCCGACATTAATACATGTACTAAGACACAAACAAGATAATTTGCCAAATATTTACAAAGTTAACGGTGTACATTTTACTATTTTAATAAGATATGCCAATTTCTTTGCCAACATGATCATGCATTTCAATCCATTTCACCTCCATGTTAGATATCCTTGCGACATCACTTACATTTTAAAGCACGTACTTCCTCAAACTGGTTGTTTTACAATAATAATATGGTTCATTTTTTGTTTACACACATTTTTGGCTTACACCCAGTGCATCAAGATCGTGTGCTCGATATGGTTCATATGCATTCATCATCGGTCTATGCAATTCATTCTATTGAAATGGTAATTTTCATAGAATGTGAGAGACCGATTTTAAAGGGAAACCTGACATTTTAAATTCTGACATTTTGTGATTGCTTTAAAAAGTGTATGTAAACTTCCATACTAATTGTCAAGTCATTGTTAACTCTTTATTTGTCATTGAAGGAAAGCCTGTACTACCACATTGTTTGGAGAATATTTGTGTACACTTTACATGCATGTAGACATTAGAATTGTACATCTTCTTTATAGGAAATACATTGAGATCTTGCTCATTTTGTATAGACCAGCAACAAACAAAAAGGTTTTAAAAGAAATGCATCCTGTTGTTAAACCGTACTTGTAGTTAGCTATATAAAGAAGTGCACACGTGTATAGAAAAAAGGCACCTAACATCATCTTCTAAAGGATTTTACATAAGTTTATAAAAAGTAAATAAAAACAGTAATCTGCTTTAAATTTATAGGCAGTGTTAAACATTACAACTTTTTTCTTAACCTCTATACGTATATGTATTTTAACTTTACCTCATGGGAAAGTAAAGCATAGCATGAACCTTTTAGAATGGTGTGGACCATTAGGGAATGTACTGCATTATTAACGTGCAGATAAAATATAAACTCGGTAAAGTTGTAAACACCTTGTTGAGCAGACTAATAGTTGTCGCTTGCATAAAGGCGTATCAATAAAAAGTTTACCGACCTGTGGTAGCGCCTAAGTGAAAAGTCATAACCAATATGGCTTTGAAATTGCTTTTATGATGAAGAATAACTTATTTTCCGTCGAATGATACCCTTTTCATAATATCACTGTCACTGGTGTACGATATGAGCACCAGGGTGTTTAAAAAGTGTTGTTGAAATCGCCTTGTTTCAAGTTTGGGCTCTAGAGAACAATGCAGGTCAGGTTACATGCATGTGATTCTTTGGTCTTAAATCCTTTTAAAAGTTAAAAATTGCTTCGTGCTTCAGTGTTTCATTGTTTAAAATGATGCAAAGTAACTAGGCTTTCACATAACCTTGTTTCAATCGACAGGATAACATTAATTATTTTAAACAGCCTACTAACTTCTTGTCCAATGATAAAGCTCTCTCTGCTCACTTGTCCACTGCGCCATTTCACACGCATAAGGAGCATAGGGTGATTATCCCAAATAACGATTGCAAACTCAAAGGTTACAAAACGAAAATGAAAGAAAGAACAATTAAGATGATAAGTATCAAATAAATTGACAACACACTTATATATAAAAAAAAAGAAGATATCATCCCTGATAAACTTTATCAATCCTGCGTCACTTAATGATAAGGTAACCTCGAACAAGGGGAGGCGAATATGGGCAAGATTGTAACCGTCATAACGAATAGAAAATCATAAATTTTGCTTGAAATAAGCATTTCTTTGAGTTTTTTCAACTGCCTAATAGTCAATGTATATAAACGAAAACTTGTTTTGGAATGAGATAACACACACATAATGGCTTTTGACCCCCATTCATTCCTTCATCCCAAGCTTGGTATAAGAGAATGTTGACAATACCTTTTGAAAGCATGCTGTTCAATCATCCTTGGGAGCACAATTGTGAAAATGGTACCATGGACATGGTTTCGGTTCTTCTTTACAATACAATATGGTTCAAGGTCACACATAATTTAATTATTAGAAGCTACCAAAGTTGGGTAATACAACAGGTGGAAATTCAATAGTACTACACAGATTATATGCATGGTATAGAGGTCCAATGAATTTAAGTTATTCCAACTTCCCGGTTTGTATCTTGCATTTGATAGTAAGCTGTACATGTTGAAACTACATGTACATCTACATGTGTGTTCAAATATTGATCAATTGAAACCTAGTATACAGATTAATATTGTTCACAATGTGTACTGGAGTAGTTTGTATATACATGTATATATTATATAAAAAGATTATGAGTTGGGTAAACGAGATGTACAATGTATATAACCAGTCAGTGTTTAAACATCATTGAAAGTACTTTGATTATAAGATTACCAAATAAAAATACATAAATATTTTGATATCCTGATGAAAAGTGTCCTCTAACAGATCTTATAATTTGATGCAAATAATGTAAAACTATTGAGGAGATCTACACGGACAACATTTCATCACCATCTTGTTCTGTTGTTAAGAAAATCTACCTTATAGATTGCTTTAGTGTTTATTTTAATTTGTATTAATCGTACGCCAGCTTAATATTGTAATGCTGAACTGTCATCTGAGACTTTTAAATGGAGTGTGGGGGATGGAAAGCTTGAACTTGAATATTTATGCCTAGCCGTTTTTATCTTCTTCTACTTTTTCTGTATGATACAGGAGTGCAAGAGAGAAGATCATCAAGATGGTTCCGAGAGGAGGAAGGTGTTTGTGTTTGGTGCTCATATTGACAGGTTTGTTATTCTTAATCTAGTATTTACAGTTTAGTGTGTCCCAGAAAAAGGGCACCTGATTATCGGTAATTTATTCATTAATTCCAAATCTTTCGTTTCCTCAAGGAAAAAAACGATTGCAAATTGTATTGCCTGCTTGGTCATGCCTGATCCATCTATCTTGAAAATCATCCTGTCATTTGGAATATGCATAACATCAAAATTGTGTTGATGTTTTTATTAAGTAGGTGATAATTTCAATTTTGTTTTTCCCACAACCATAATGAACCAAAAGCAACAGCCATCTGCTTATTTTGGACGAAAGGGCTACTGACAATCACACTTCCGATAGCGCCCATGCAAGATTTATTGATCATTCTTTTGATGACAAGTGACTTTTTTTGTCATCAAGATATACACATTAATTAAAATATAATCTTGGAATAAAGAGTTATTTACCCCAAAACTTGGGTTTTGATTATCAGGGACATCATGTATTAGGTATATGTACTCGTGCACCTCCATGTTCTGCACCAAAATGGCAGTGATCCAACATTTGCTCTAGTGGCAATTGCCCAGGTTGTATTTTGTCATGAGAACATGTTTATGGTTAAGGTTGTAATTTGGTTATAGGTTTTATTTATGGATGAGGTAAGGGTTAGGTATAATGGTTGGGCCAGAGTTGAAGTTAATAAGTTAAGTTGGGGAAATTACCATGCAGCACTTGTAACGGGAGCATGTGTCGTTACAAAGTCGAGTGTACAACATTGTCTGCATCCTTTCTCTGCGGCTTATGCCGAAAGGGTGGGTAGCGTCGCGTCGCGTTGACTTGAACGCGACCTTTCGTCCGTTGACTAGTCTTCCACATCAGTCGTTTATAATAGAATTTAAGGAATAGAAATTTAAGTCGCTTAAATTCAAATATTCAAAATAGAAAGAGATTAAAAATTAAATAAAACTATTTTTACGTAGTCTTGCAGATCAGAGTTCTTTGAATGAGGTCACAGGCTCTTGATCGTTCACAATTTAATGGTTAGAGTCACAAACTTCTGAAGATTCAAAATCCATCGAATGGAATCACAGACTCTTAAATGTTCACAATCCATTGAATGGAGACACAGGCTTTTGAAGGTTCACAGTCCAGTGAATAGAATAAGACTCTTTAACATTTACAATTCAATTAATGGAGATGGTACTTTATTATTTAATTGTGTGAAAGAGTCAAATGGATCATAATTAATTTATGTATTCTCTTTTTCACAATATGCAGGGTTCTTGTTGGGAACAACAAATGGAGAGACAAGTAAGTTGTTTATCATAAACACAGTGTTTATTCTAGAGAGATAAAATTGCTTAATTTTAGTGAAAAATATAGTAGTGGACAAAATTCAGTTTTATCGTTATGGAATTGTAGAAACCTTTTATTATTAGTGTGCTAACACGATGAACAGCTTTAATTAACATTGCCATGGCAATGAAATATGATATACTAGCAAAATTACTATTTTTCAAAGAGTTGGAAATTTAGAATTGAAACAATGATCATAGCACTGAATTTATGTACAACATCACTCAGATATATATGCCCACTTTTGAAGGAAAGTCTATCCTGGCAACATGTTTAATTAAATCAAGGTAGAAAATGAGGAAAAAAGGTGAATGTTTTGAAAATATGATAAAGAATGAGAAAATTGTACATTTTTTTCTGTGCTAAACAAAGTTTTCTTCTTCCAAACAGTTATTCATAAGTTGTGACAAACTCATCATTATGAAAAACATTATTTTCCTCATTCTGGTATTTGATAAAAGGAGTATGTCCATATTTATGAGCGGGTGTGAGAGTGTATAGGGAATTATGAAATAGGACATGGATATGAAGAAGGGAAAAAATCTCAGAAAAATTGTATAATTCTTGAGGTTTTCAAATACCCTTGTCATGAGAATGAAGGTCTGTGGATTAATATTTTTTGACTAATCTGCTTCATTACTGGGTGAAAAATTGTAAAATTAAAGTCCTAATTTAGTTACACAATAATATAAAGTTTAATGATTTTTCAAAAATGTGTACTTCCGAGAGTTGTCCGATGACTTCAAAAAAAAAAGATGCCTAATATAGCACCAACTGTAACAAAAATTAAATGTAAAAGCTCTATCATCTTTTCCATTTGTTCACCTGTATCCCCTTTTCTCTCTCTCTCTATTTTCTCTTTTTATCACTTAAAAAAATAGCAATGGGACCAACCACTGCACTATGTAAGTTCATCGCAAATTTTCAAACACAGCTTACAACTGTTTCTAACTATTATACCAAATTTAATATAAATATCAGTATTTCACTTCAATTTTGCCAAAAAGCCAAATGGAGGAACTAATTTTCTTATGGGTGATTGCTTTTTAGATGTTACCTTCATTGTGTATGTATGCGTGCTTTAAACTGTGAACATCTGAATCAAACTGAGTCTTGCAAGTTTTTATAAACGTAAGAAATTTGTACAAGATAATCCCTTTCTTTCGTGAAACGTTCTTTGCTTTTCCTCAGGTCTGTTTAACATTTTCCAGATGCTTCTCCAAGGTCCTCAATATCTATTTAGAAATAGAAGAATATTTTATGTAGATGTTCATTTTGCCACACAATGTAGAAAAGCTTATAGTTTTTATACAATTATTAACATGTTCTTTTATATAGCTTCATTTTATAAGCTTTTATTAAAATTTAGTTGACGTCCACATGCACTATGCAAATAGCATTATTAATTTGAAATTAAAATACAATTTTTGAAGAAATAGCCTGCTTGAATATCATTTTTATTTCAAAATTTTATTCCTCGGAGATAATGATCTTATTTAAAATCAAAAGCAACTTCAGCCAAAGTTATCCCTACATGTATACTCTTCTTTTCACTAGAAAACTTAGGTCCTGTGTGAAAATTTAATAACCAAGCGTTTACAGATATTTAGTCAGGTGGTGCGTGACTAGCAGATCATTATACATGTTTATCTGTCAAATTTACTCATTTTTAAAGCAACATTTCGTTTTTATGCCTCTATAGTGATGATATAGAATACTAACTCTCCCTTTTCTGTTTAGAAGTGCACATTAGAGGCTTGTTGAGATATGAAGCAGTGAATTGTGGCGTTTTTTTTTATAACGTGCATTTTACGATTGGCAACCTCGCGCAACAAAGGTTCTAGGCGTATTCCCGGAGCTTTGAATTTAAATAATAGATGTCAAGGAAATATCAATACTAAGCTGCTATAAAGTTTTTTCTCTCCTCCAATGGACTCATTCACAAGCAAAATATAAAAGTAACTTATTTGCCTGACCCAGCCTGCCCGGCATGTAAAACTCCAAAAACGTAAAACCCCCAAATACATGTAAACCTATGAAGGTTGTGACTTTGTGTGTGTCACTATCTCCTAGAAAACATTTTTGTATTCTGAAATTCATCAGTAATCAGTGATAAAATATTAGAATATCTTGCACAGATATCTATCGAATGTAAGGCCACATGTATAAGACACTTCTCTTTCTATTTTCACTCCTTGACACTCCTAACTTTCCACGATTGAAGTGTTGATTTTTGTGTGTGCGAAGCTTAGATATTTATTAAATCTACAAATACCTGCTTCTATTTCTCGTAGGTATATTTTTTAAAGCATTAAATGGGCTAAGACATGTTAATCGTGAGAGTTCAGTTTTAAATAACTTTGAAATATTTTAGGAATTGTTAAGAAGAATAGTTTTTTATGATTGTCTTCCATATTTTTTTACAACGCTGTTGTCCTTGCTTAGTTATATAAGTAGGGTGATTTGTTCAGAATGAAGAGGAGGGCATTTTTAAATGAATCCAGATATACATAGTACATAAATCAATACATAGTACATAATACATAGTAAACAATACATAGTACATAAATCATAAATAATGAAAACAAAATACATATGGTACTAATCGATCAACCGAAAACAAATCATCTTTTGAGAGAAGTCAAAGCTATCATTGTTTTCTAAATGATAGGTTTTTTGTATTTGTATATACCCGGTAGTTAAATAAGTAGGATGATTTGTACAGAATGAAGAGGATGACATTGCCACACCATATATCTGTGCACTAACTCTACACATATAACCAAGGTTTTAACCTGGCCTAAATTTAGCGGCTATCGAGAATACAGGCCTCTGTTTATGAAGGGCATTGCAGGCATATCATATTTCAAGATTGTCACACCAGCTATTCAGTTTTTTTTTTACATTTTTGTAAATTTTCTATTGTACAATTTCTTTTCTATCTTTTACAGTAAATGAGTGCATAACTCTTACTCCCTGCATGAACGGAGGAACATGTACAGATACCAGTCTTCCACCCGGTTACTCATGCAGCTGTGTAGCAGAATTCACAGGACCAACTTGTGAAGAAGGTATATGCTTCAGACTTTGTCATTGTCACCTCTTTTTAAGAAAGAGAGGCATACTAGGTGATGTTCCCATCTGTGTGATTAATATGGATGAGCCCAGGTACTATGCTTCCTGTAACTGTGTCAGAGCATTTATGCAGTATGCTTATTTTCTATGACTATAAAGCAAATGCCAACTTGTCATAACATGTCATATTTAAAGATTGTCACACCTGCTATGCTAACTAATTCAGTTTCTCATTTTTGTAAATTTTCTATTGCACACTTTCTTTTCTATCTTTTACAGAAAATGAGTGCATAACTCTTACTCCCTGCGTGAATGGAGGGGCATGCACAGAAAGTATGGGTTCAGAAACTACAGATACCAGTGATATCGGTTACTCATGCAGCTGTGTAGCAGGATACACAGGAATAAATTGTGAAATAGGTATATGCTTCAAACTTTTTCATTGTCGCCTCTTCTTATAAAAAGAAATGTAAAAGAAAAGTTGATTGAAGAAGAAAACACTAGATGATGTTCCCATTTGTGTGATTAATATGGATGGGGCCATGCACTATGCTCCCTGTAAAGATAAACAGATTTCATGGTATGAAATTTCATGAGGCAGTTTTGCATTTTATATCTGACCTATACATACTTATTAACCCCCAAAACAAAAAATATAAATCTTTAGAGAATTCAAAGATATCGTATATGGCGTAATATTTCATTATGCAATTTTGCATTCTAAATCCGCCCTATACCCCTTCTGGATGAGGCCAAGCACCTGTAAAGAGCATTTTTGCAATATGCTTATTTTTTTTTTACTTCAAAGCAAATGCCAACGTATGGTTCTTGTCATAATACATCATATATTCAAAGGTTGTCACATCTGGGGGGTGTTTCATAAAGAATTTATGTCTAGACATAAACCCTAAAGTCTCTCTTAAGTGTCCTACTTATGAGAGACTTTAGTTATGAGATAATTTTCTGTTTTATAAAGCAAAGTCTACACATAAAAGTCTCTCTTAAGTCAAAAGTCTCTCATAAAGTTACGAGAGACTTTTACCTCTCATAAGTATTCAAAGTCTTCACATATCTTTCACATATTATTTATTATTACTTAAATTTCAAGAAGAAAAAATGACACTAGAGTATTATGCAGTACACTTGTAACTCAAATGGATGTAACGGATATATTTCAGATATTTATAGCATAAATATAACTCAACTGAGAATAATTTACATTGATATTAAAATAAACAATGTTGTAAGTAACACATGTCACAATGAAATATTTTATTTAATATAAAATATATGAATGAGAAGAATAAATAAATAAACATTTTTATATTGAAGCAAACATAATAAAAAAATAAACATTCAATAATGTAAATTCCAACAAGGATTATTGCATCAAAATGTCAGTAAAACAGCAAGTCCACAGGTAAATCAACACAATGTACTAAAGTATTTATGTACTTTGTCAAAGATTAAAGTTGTACATCTCATCAGTAAATACAAAGGAAAAACTTTAAAATAATTCCACACAATTTTTGTATTTATTTTAAATTATCTTAGTGTTTATTTTGCTTGGTAATGACCTACAGTGTAACTGTCCCTTTTGTAGGCTGAAAATATAAATGTGTGTAAATCAGATTGTAAACAAGAGGTAATAGCATCTAAAAACTACTTTGAAAGTATGGTGCAAATCTAATGGTAAACAAGAGCAATACCAACTAAAATCGCCTCTTAAAAGTTTAGAATTGATACTAGCCTCAAGGTGGAATTATATCAACAAGTGGAGAAGGGAAAAAAACAACTACAAAATAGTCTGATATTCAGACCCTTGTACTGAACAGTCGTTTTGTGCCGAGTACGGACTCAATCACTTTATTGCTGGCCATTACAAGAAGCAGGATATTGATGTGTACAAATTCTAATGTGTCCTTTACAGCTCATTTTAATAATAAAGTTAACATGTAGTTAATGGCTACCAACTAAAAACTCCTCTTTAAGGCAGCAGCTCTCATTTGCACTCCTTTCATCAAGTTCCATGGAGTGCATCGTGTATTCTCATGCCAAAGAGCTTTACCCATGCAATATTATATTTTGGGGAGGGTGTGCAAATGAGGGCTACCAACTTTAAAGGTGCTGTGTCTCTTTAGCAGACAGAAAATACAAAGTGGTGTAAATCATGATCTATAGAATTACAGGTAGTGGGCCTCATTTAAACACCCTTTCCCCAATTAGATGATATTCCAAGGCTACCTCTTTGGCATTAGAAAAACCCTGTTCAAATATTAAGAGCAAACTGACCAGTTGTTTAGAAATCATAAGTGAATAGATTTATTTAATTTTTCTGAAATAACAAATTATGCTGAACACACAAAAAACAAATCTCGCTACTTATCTTTGGCTCAAAATTTTCATCAAGTTTACTCTCATGGCAAAGAACTTCTATCAAGGATTTTTTTCCTCAGAATTGGAAAGGCATTGCATTCAAATTGTATACTGAGGTTAAAGCGGATGTCATTTAAACTCAATACTGCAAAATTATTTTGAAACGATTGTGTATGAAGACGAATATTGCCGAAGGAATTAAAAACATTTATTTAATGTACTCAACATTCAATTTTTGTATTGGTAAAACAGGAGGCTTGTCGAAGTGAAGGAAGAGCAAAATTTGATCTTGCGTCATAGAAAACATTTGTTTTCAAAATCCTTTACAAATAAAAATGAAAAATAATTTAAAATACAAATGCTCCCAGTGCACATGCAGGATATCCTGCAAGCTCGAATTCCGCTCTTCCCCCACTTCAACAAGCCTCGGCTGTACACATACGCTTCACAACTTTGTGCAGCGTCTCCCCCCCCCCCTTCTCTTCTAGATTCTCTACTGCCTCTCCTTCATCCATGGCTCATTCATCTTCCTTTACACTTCCAATGACGTCCTCCATGTCCTTTAAATTAAAAGAGATTTAACACAAAAAGAGTTATCATCTAACAAACTTTGTCGAGATAAAATAAACTATGTAAAAAAATATGTATAAATTGGGAATGTAAAACAGATTCATTTATGCAGATCGATATCGTTAGCTTGGGTGTGAGCGGGAATCTAAAAGTGTCAGGAACTGCATCCATCCTTTTGTAGGTCATGCTATAATGACCGGCACTAAATCTCACAGTAATTACAAAAACAGGTACAGGAACAAGATGCAAAAGTGTTGTTCCTATATGTCCCTATAAATATTATGGTCCTTCAGGGCAAAACTGAGTTTAAATAGATTTGATTTGACATGATGAACTTATGCTATGTTGACATTGATTCATGTTTACTCAAATAAAAAATGTGATGGACATCTCAGCTGCCTACAATAATATGTGACACAGGAAAGTAAACAGAGATAAAAACAGCTTTTTTTAAATCATCGGGACTTTTCAGTTTTAGTCCCACAATTATACTGATTCATAACCATGTTATGGATTATTTTAATAAAATTACATTAAAAAACTGAAAAAGATTAAAGACTAAACCCAAATATTTCAGTTTTTCCCATAACTGTTAAAGTATTCTGCTTGCGATTCCTTTGTATGGCTATGTATGTATGATCTACTCATATCACAAATGTCACAGTGACCTCCCAGAATTCCCAGCCTATTAAACTAACTGGAAAACTGGCCATGAATATTTTTTAATCAGGTATGACTTCAAAATTAAATATGTATGCTTACAAATCCTGCCTCTGTGAGCTCTAGATGCCGTCAACCACCTCTGTATCCAGCATCTCAAGGACTAGGGAGTCAATGAAAGACATTGGTGTTGCTGGTCTACCTCCTTCAGATAAACAATATATTATGCAAGTGTATATACACATAGGAATAAAACAATCTTGCCTTTATGTTTTGTTCCTTCTGATGACTGTTGTTTTTCTCTTTCATCAGATATTAATGAATGCATATCCAATCCATGTATGAATGGAGCTGCTTATGTGGATGGTATTGATAGTTTCACATGTACCTGTGTAGCAGGATATGAAGGAACGACGTGTGATACGAGTATGTTCAGTCGACGTTAACATTTTATTAGTGTCACATAACAACATTCTATAAGAAAATAGCTCACAGCCAATCAAACGCAATGATTTGAGTAACTTTAAACTGGTATTGTAACTTGTTATTGATAATAATTTTTCTGGGCTGGGGCCCAGGTTTGTTTTTTTAGCAGGTGTTTTCTGATAAATAAGTACTTTGGTATATATTTGAATTTGAAGAGCTGATTAATCAAAGGAGCTTCATGTATAATTGTGTAACAAAGCTACGTTAATATTAAGCAGTTACACACCTATAAATAGAAATAAAATTGTGCAGTGAAATAAAGAAGTTCTGCTGACATAACATTGCAAGGTACACTGTATATACATTGATCTGTATTTTATGCTTAATTGTAAGATATTTATTGTTCAATGGTTTAATTATATCTAGTATACCCTTTGTTTGATGAGAGTTTCATTCTTTAATGTCATTTTCCTGTTCCATGTAACCGGACCACTGTAGTGCAAACTTCGCTCACCTATCTTCGATTTTATTCTAGGCACATGGAGAGCCGTTGTGTCTGTAGTTGAGCGAAGATTATATGTGGAGTGACGAGAAGATTGTAACGAGGAAGACAAATATTTAGGTGCTGCATTATGTGTACATTTGTAAACAAATAGTGCGGTTTTGTACATTATTATTTTTTCGACCGGTAGCCAATGAAGTTGTCTAAGTAGGGGTGATGCATAATCCTGTCTCCTTGCTCAAAGAACAACACGAGCAGCTCGGTTTTGAATACGCTGAAGTCTTTGAATTTCAGTTACTGGGGCACTAATGAGGAGGGAATTGGAATAGTCCAGCCGACTAAGGACTAGCGAACGGACAGCGTGATGACACACTTCTTCTGTCAAAAATCTCCTTACTCTTGAAATGTTGTAAAGGTGAAAATTCAGAGATTGGCTCAATGCAGTAACTTGTTTGCTTGTGGACAACAAAGAATTAAATTTCACCCCTAAGTTACGAAAATGATCGGATGGCTCAACTTGAGAATTACATACAGATAGAGAAATATTATCTGGAAGATGATGTCTGAGTTTAGGAGATACAATAACCATCATCTCTGTCTTATTTTCATTAAGCTTTAATCTATTGTGTGACATCCATCCACTTAGTTCAGCAATACAATCATGAAGAAGACCCATTACTTCCGTAAGACTACTAGGTATTTTAGGATCGAAACTACAATGCAGATGGGTATCATCAGCATAAACATGGTACTCAATACCATGGTTTAACGTACAACATGAACAACACAGGTCCCAGGACAGAACCTTGCGGAATACCATGTTTCAGAGGATGTATATCTAAAAAAAATTGATATCGATATCGAAACATGGAAAGATCTGTCAGAAAGATAGGTCTGAAACCACTCTAAGGCTTTGTCACATATGTCGAAATCAGAACGCAATCTGCCAAGTAACATTGTATGATTGTGCCTATCTTTTCAGAATACAAATGTATATATATTACATAATGGGAGACATTGATCTAGTTACTCATTCAACGTCTTAAAATCATGGATATATTGTTTCATAAAACATTTTATCAATAAAAAGTGTCACAAAATTATATAACAAAATTGCTCACAGCCAGCTTTAAACAGGTATTGTGCCTTGTTGTTGAAAAAAAAATTGGAATGGGGCCTTGGTTTTTTTTTTTTAGCAGGTGTGTTCTGATATTAAGTTTGTTTACGGGTACTTCTATTCACAAATCGACTCATTGGTGTTAAGCGATTGCCGTCTACAATCACCTTTGCTTGATATGCTGTGTAAGATAGCCCCAGGCCTCCTTTAGTCTCACAAGCACATGCAGACATGGCATGATAACTCCTTGAAGATATAGATGTAAATGCCTACTTCAATGGTCGGTTTTTATCTATCAGAGCCTTACGAGATGTGGTTAAATAAATGCTAATGTTAAGCGGTTTTAAATTCAATTAATTCCAAAATCATGATTAATATGAACACTATGGTACACTGTTGCCCATCAAGTTGGAATGTTTTGTCCATTACTCCTTTCATGAGTTGACTGTGGCAATATGATTTTATCTTGATAGATAAAGTTTATACCTTCTCAGACTTTATATATCAATCTCTATGACTCTTTTACATTAACCAATAAATCTCTGAGAAGATGTAAACTTTATTATGCCGTAAAGCTAAAAAGTAAAGATGTTCTGCTGACAAAAAAAAGAATTCTTAAACTATCTATCTTGTATAGAGTATTTTATGTATTTATGTTCATGTATGTAAAGTAAATTTCATTACAGATGCCAACTTTACAGCACATATTTTGTTCGATAAGTCAAACATATTTCATATATTTGTATAGCATTGTTGGTTTTATTTGTTTTTCAGATATCAATGAATGTGGTTCTGATCCCTGTGAATATGAAGGGACTTGTACGGACATGGTGGTTACACCTACAGTTGTGTCCTTGGATATACAGGAATGAACTGTCAAACTTGTATTGATTGTGCCTATCTTTTCAGGATACAAATGTATTTTTTTATTTCATAATGAGAAACATGGATCTATTTACTCATTCAACAACTTGAAAATATGGATATATTGTTTCATGAAACATTTATCAATAACAATTATCACATTACAACATCATATATCAAAATTGCTCACAGCCAATCAATTGCAGTGATTTGATTACATGTAGCTTTAAACCGGTATTTCGACTAGTTATCGATAATAGGTTTTCTGGAATGGGGCCCTGTTTTTTTTCTAGCAGGTGCTTTCTGATAAATAAGTTTGTTTCCAGGTACTCCTATTCATAAAGCGACTCATATGTGTTAAGCAATGACCATCTACGAAACATGGCGTCATTGCACGCACATCGTTGTGACACGATTGCATTTCTAGTTCACTCTCCATCCATGCTATGACTTGGTAATATGTTCTGAGGGAGTGGAATTTGGTGGAGCTGACGTAGGAGGGAGTCGCATTGGCAATTTTCTAGACGAACAAGTTGTATCGTAATGATGCAAGTGAGTCATTACAGCAGCAACCAAACATGACAGACATTGCTTTGATACCAAGTTCCTCTATTAGTTCCTTTGGCTGACTTGGGAGAAGAAAAGTACTAGCACTGGATTCTTAAGTGGGGCTACATTTCACAAGCTTCTGGAAGACTGCTCTCTTTCCGATTGCGAATATCCTGGAAGTCGAATCACAACCAGTGTAGGCATCTCAAAAAAGTAGTTGTGAGCATAGATCTTTACCCAGGTCCACTTTCAACTGCTTAATGTTATACACCTTCGGAGCCTTGGCTGCATTGTAAGAGTGGAAGTATAGTTCCCTGCTATCTACATCCGCGTAATGCAAGAGTAACACCAATAGGTCAGTGCCTTCTCAAATCAGAGTAGTAGACTGACGACGAGAAGAATTCACTGCAGCTTTAGCAATATGTACATTTGCATCCCCGGATACATTGATGACGGCGCGATTACTCTTCCTCCGTTCCTCACTAATGGGATTCATGAGTCCCTGCTTATTGCAGTCTCTTGATAAAAACTCATCCTTCTTGCCTGAGAATACAATGTCTGACAACTGGATGGGCATTCTGCCCACGTCGCTGTGGTGTGTATTATCATTAATTGACGCTCCTCCACCATAGCCGTCAAAAATTACATTTGCAGAACCAAAAAGTGAGGGTGGGTAATAAGTGACTTATGGCCATTTTCATGTTATGGCGGCCATTTTGGACGCCATCTTGGATTTTGGGGTTTCCTAGACCATCACAAACCATTCTTACTTGTCTCAATGGATTCTCCGACCCCTGAAACCATGGGATAGACACCAAAATTATGTCTCTAGGATGGATAATAAGTGATTTATGGCCATATTTAGGTATCGGCGGCCATCTTGGACGCCATCTTTAATAAAAAAACAGCTTTCTGAAGCTTCGATTTCGGTGTACTTTTAGTATGTTATTCCTGAGGTCAAATACTACTAGAAACCGTTAAAAAAAACCTGTTGTTGCAATTTTTAGGGGTTGGGGTGTTTTTTACCATATATTGACCTGACTAACTATTTATTATTTATCTGATTAGCTGACATTAAGGTGGCCCTTTCAAAATCAATGAAAGAACGTTTAGTCAGCCACACAAAATATCAGGAGGCCCTTGCCAGTCTTAGATTCTCTTTAACCTTTAGAAGATGGAGTGTTTAGTCGGTCTGAAATTATATTGTGGTATCAACGTACTTGTATGGAGCCTATTAAACATGGAAAGAGTTTTGTTAACTAACAGCAAAAATGTGAGATATATATATAGCAGGCACATGATATGGTGCCTTATTAACCAATCAAACAAATTCTTAACTTTATTATTAGTTTTTATATGTTCATTTTGTTATTAAAATTAGGGTGTTTAGAGGGACCTTCTTCCTCTTCGTGTGCAAAGTAGAGATCATGCACAATGTATTTCATGTCATTTAAAGTCAAAGGTCATATACCTATCGGTCAACCCCCAGACTAATTATTGTTTAAAGGAAAAATTAAAAGTGGTAATGTGAAAGTTCATGTTGATTTCATCAATGGGACATTATTCAAATACCCTTCAAGTTTTTATTTCTAAAGAAAATGTTGTGTACATTGGATTGAGTGAAGCTCGCTTACATCATATGACCCCACTATGAACTTTAATTTCATCCAATGCTCTTGCTCAAAAATTTCTTAATTTATATTTCTTGAACAGATATAAATGAGTGCCTTGTTCCAAGCTTATGTGATGCTACAACTAGTGTTTGTGTGAACACAGTAGGAAGCTTCAACTGCATGTGTAATACTGGCTATCAACATCCAAGTCCTGGAACAACGATATGTGTTTGTATGACATTTGAAACATTTAAAGGTTTTGGGTACATGCGATCTGATATAAATAGTTTAGTTGTAGATCAAGAGGTGTATAGTTTTTATTATTTATCGGATTGGGTAAAAGTAAGGTACCCCTTCCAAAATTAATAAAAGAACTTCCAGTCATCTAGACAAAATATCAGGAGACCCTTGCCAGTCCCGAATCATCTTTATCCTTTAGATGGTGAAGTTTTCAATTTTTCAGGCAAATGATATGCTGCTTCATTAACCAAACAAACAAATTCAACTTCATTATTATGTTTCATATGTTCATTTTGTTATTAAAATTAGGGTGTTTAGAGGGACCTTCTTCCTCTGTGTGTGCAAAGTAGAGATCATGCACTATGTATTTTATGTCATTTGATGTCAAAGGTGATACACATATCAGTAAACCCCATATTAATTCTGGTTTAAAAGAAAAGTTAAAAGTGGTAATGACAAACTTCATGTTGATTCGTTAATTGGGACATTATTCAAATAACCTTCAAGTTTTTATTTCTAAAGAAAATGTTGTGTACATTGGATGGAGTGAAGCTCGCTTACATCTTATGATCTGACTATGAATCTTATTTACATACAATGCTCTTGCTCAGATTTGCACTAATCTTTATATTTTAAACAGATGTGGATGCATGCGATGATGGAAGCCATACGTGTGATACTACAACAAGTATTTGTGCGAACAATCTAGAAAGCTTTACATGCGTGTGTTATCCTGGCTATAAACTGCAAACTGGTAGCACAACGACATGTGATGGTATGTCATCTGAAACATTGTTTAGATGTACATCAAGTAGTGTATAGTTTTTATTATTTATCTGAATAGATGACAGTAAGATGCCCCTTCCAAAATTAATGAAAGAACTTGCAGTCATCAACAACAAAATATCCGGAGGCTCTTGCCAGTCCAAAATTCTTTTTATCCTTTAGATGGTGAAGTGTTAAATCTGTGTTTTAAAACAAATTGTGATCAAGGTTCTCGCCTGGAACCCATTAGACCAGGAGGGGTTTGGGGTATTAATTATCAGCACAACTCTAAGATCTATATCAAATACAGGATTTTCTGCTTCAGTAACTAATCAAACAAACTATTAACCTTGTTATTAGAGATTATATTTCCATTTTGTTAGTAATATTAGTGTGTTTAGTGTTTGCAACGTAGAGATCACGCACAATGTATTTCAGGCCATGTAAAGTCAAAGGTCATACACATATCAGTCAATCCCCACACAAATTATTTTAGTAGATTTAATTTGACTTGTATCCGATCATGTGATCTTGTTTAATTACAGGAAGACATTATTGTATCTTGAAATTTTTCTCATTTTCAATGCTCACTTCTTAGCTATTAAACAAAATTTTTACTGAACTCATTTGGCTTTTGTACAATATTTGTAGTCTTAAACGTTCAGAACAGTGTTTAGTATGACTCCAGTCATTCCCTGCATTCTCAGGATTCCATTAGAACCGGTATGAATGAAGGCGTCTGCAGAGCTTAATATATCTTTTTGTATATGATGATGATGATGAACAGTATTTGTATGGCGCCATATATCTGTTTTAAAAAACATTCAAAGGCGCGAGCTACAAAAAGCAAACAAATGAAATGGATAAGATATGAAGCCAACCTAGCAGAAATTTTTCACTCTATTTTTATTTTGGTCCAGATATCGATGAGTGCTTGAGCAACCCCTGTATGAATGGAGGGACCTGCATGGACTTGGTCAATAGATACACATGTTCATGTCCGGAAGGATTCAACGGAACATTCTGTGAAGATGGTAACATATGATGCAGCTTAGATATCCCTTCCAAATACACTTCTTTAGAATACGTAAGAGAAGGAACCTGTAGTGGAAACACTCTTGAAATAAGAGGAATAATTCTTACAGGGTCTCCCAGAAAAAGCATGAAGGAAAAGGGATATACACATGTGCAGATAAAAGTATTTAAGTATATGTATGTTTCAGGTGCATATATGTAGGAAACTAATATATGTATTTATTTTTCTATGTACCCTGTTATCCCCATTTCAAAGAGAGCAGTGAGGTGTCTGTGATTTATTCTATGACCCGTGCACGACTCATTTAAATTTGTTTTGTTTTGCATGAAGGTTTGATTTGCGCTGATTTAGTTTTGTTTATATTCATCATAATATATGGTTTTAGATCATATCATAGGCTTATGTAAAGTAAGCGCGTACCAAACATTGTACACATACATTGATTTTTATACATGTGTTGATGATGTAGTCAGAACTGAGTGCATCACTCTTTAAAGTACAAAGTTTGCACAGTTTTTGAAAGATTTTTCAGAGGGCTTGTGACAGCTATGTCATTTTTTTTATCCGCTTTAACTAGAAAATAGGTCAAATATATTTGAGTTTGACATGACATGAACAATTTTTTGATAAATCTAACCAGTAATGTAGTTTAACAATTGAGTTCGTTCAAATGTGAAAATGCTTATATCTGAATGGTAGAAGCGGGTACCTTTCCTTCTGATAATATAAAAATACTAACACTGATGCTAAATTATTGACAAAATTATGTTTCATGCAGTTTGTTAGTGTTGAGTTGCTTGCATAACACAATGGAACATGTGCATTCTGATTCCTCACAAGTATTCCTCTGCCTTTCCTCGGTCCAAATTGAAATTATTTGTGAAGATTCATACTAAAAGATATCAAGAAAACAAAAAACAAAAAGTATTTATTAAACAGTTAAAATTGATCATAAAAGAGATTGTTTAAAGAAAATGTTGTAGAGGTGAGGGTGGTCGTTAAGATCAATGGTCCTTTTCATCTACTAGAACCCCCTAAATTAGTTCAAATAAATGCTAATGTTAAGCAGATTTGCACTCTATGTTAAATTTATATTCATTTTGATACCACCATATATTTAGTAGAAACATTTTTGCACAATGATTTATGTATTCACATATGACTAGTGCAAACATATGCAAGAATTCTAATCTACGGCTAGACACAACTTATACAAATTTTAAAAATTGCATTTGAACAAAATACAAAGCTCGCAGATAATGGAAAATATTGGGCGATTAACATTTTAGTTTGCATGATTTTGATTATTTCTGTTGTATTTTCTTTTGTGGCTGTGATATTGCTTGCTTTGCCCTGAAGACATTGATGCATGTGATCCCAACCCATGTGTCAATGAAGTGAACTGCACAAACCACTTAATGAATCCCGGTGATGCTAATTACACATGTGTCTGCATGCCTGGATGGACAGGGAGAAATTGCTCAGAAGGTTTGTACAAATTCCACCCAACATAGTAATTCAAAAATTATCATGATTAAGATGTGCAATATGGTACACGTTTGCCCTTGAAGTTTGAATATTTTGTTTTTAACTCCTTTCATGAATTGACTGTGGCAATATGATTGTATCTTGATAGATAAAGTTTATATCTTCTCTGAACTTTATTGATCAATCTCTATGACTCTTTAAATTAACCAATAAAATTCTGCGAAGATGTAAACTTTATCAATAATAACCAGATTGTCACAGTCATTGTTTTTAAAGAGGTAAGACAAATATTCCAACTCTACAGGCAACCGTGTCATTTTTGGAAATTGAATTTCTGTATTGTGCTGATCTTATGCAAATTTGCACACAACTGGTCCTAATTCACAAATATTTTGATACCATCACATAGTCAGGAGAAACATTTTGCATGATGATTTACTAATTCACATCTGACCAGTGCAAAATATTTAATTTTTTATTGAAAAATAAAACGTGTGTACCAAATACTAATGATGTATGTATGTGGTAAATTTGAGCATAGTTTGAACATAGATGTTTCACTTGTTATGACAAATGCTCATGAAATAAAATAAGTATTTTTTACTTTTAGATAAATATTATGTACTGTGTCTTATACCAACAAATGAAATGAATTTAAAGACACCAACGCTAAATCTATACTCAATTATTAGTACCTCGATTATTTCACAATTAATATATTTAAACATATATATTTAGTATATTTAGTAAATAATCCAATTATATTTGTTTTATGGGATTGTAACACACTTCAAAGATGAGCTGTTAAGTTATACTATTAACAACACTATTACACATTTTGTAATGATTCTCAAGATTTAATTAATTAAATTACAGATCCATATGGAGAGTAAGAAGTTACTTCCAAAATATTTCAGGGCCTCGAAGCATCAATTTTCAAATGCTAATTTACGAATATTCCTTTGTTATAGTATTAACATTTATCTCTTTATTGTAATTGATAAAACAATGTTTGTTGGAAGTAAATAGGCACCTAACTCAACCAATTCTAAAGCATTTACATTATTCAAATTTAAAAAAAGTAGCATAACAAATTACTGCTTAAAGATGCTGATCAAAAGCTTTGAATCATTGCCAAATGTCTGGTATTGGAGAAAAAATGTTTTGCTGTTTTATATAGGATTAATTTTGAACATGCTGAAAGGGTTGTTCAAATACATATATCCATATGCCTTTTCGTCTAATGTGTAGATATTCGTAAATGCAATGCAATGCCCTGCAAGAACAACGGAACATGCGTGGATGGCACAGACTATTACGAGTGCTATTGTCTTCAGGGCTTCAATGGAGCAAATTGTGAAATCGGTATGTGAACTTGCAAATGTAGGGGATGATGAGTGGCATGACAATGCTTGATCTTTTATTTCTGAACATAAAAGGGTTGAATCGTTACTAAGGTGGCTAAAAACACATTTGATTTACCATTATAAGTGCATTTGCAAATTGATTGACAACTCAGAATTGCAGTTCCAAAAGAATTATGAGTTCAAATTTTTTCAAAATTTATGCTGAAAGAAAGTATGTAATAATATATAATATCTTAGATATTATCTTTTATTTCTTTTTTAACACTTTGTGTGTCATATCTTATAGGGGCATAACAAGATTTGCATAGTTCATAGTAAATATGGCTCTGCATCCTTTCTCTAGGGAAATTAAATGCTAATACCTACAGGCCCGAATTCACAAAGGAGGTTTGTCGACAAACCGATGTTATGTACGTCATATGACGCGTTTTGACGCGTTTTTTACAAACCTGGTTTGTAAAAAACAAAAGGAGGTTTGTCCAGAAACCTCCTTTGTGAATTCGGGCCACATAGTTTGTAAATACAGTGTATGTAGAATTTTTTGAATTCCTGCTGGCCTTTTCTAAAGAAATGCTTTATGAATCAAACGAAGCAAAGTTAGAAGCATTTATTATGATATTGCTGGTGATAGCATGCAGTGTGTTGATGGTATGAATAATTAAGAGAAATAGCAATTAATATGAAGTTTGTCTGGATCTTTTAGAAGGTGTGAAGTGAATGTTTCGTTCGAGGCCATTGTATTAAACTGAGATTGGTAATCTGATTGCACAGTAAAATTACGATTGAAATTATTGTTGTTAGAGTGTGTCGGATGGAGGGAAAATAATTAAAAAAGGGTTGTTGTTTAACTACTCGTATCTAATGCAACTATTTTAGGCTGTCCGGCGGGTACTTTTGGAGATTATAGTATGGAGAGCTGTACATGCGTGGATGGAGCTAACTGCGGTAATGTTGATGGGAACTGCACTTGTGGTCCAGCATTTGAGGGAGCAGTTTGTGACAGAAGTAAATGAGCAGAAAAAGAAGAAGTGATAGGTGCAAGTGTAATTCCAGGGCTCGAACCCTTGACCTTTTCATCTGAAGTAAAGTACGGCTAGACTACAATACCTCTGAAACACCAACTATGAATATAAAACTTTTGACCATTTTGACCGTCCTGTATCTTTCACAGAAGTGGCAGAACTTGCTAATCCAGGATATTCCAATGTCCTCTCCATGGAACTTCAACTTATGTGGGACTTCCCAGTTCAAGGCAATGACGATGACATCAACTGCACAGCCAAATACAGGATTCAAGGCACCAATAAGACAGAAGACAAAAATGTGGGAAGTACATCACCGGGTATCGTGACGGTCTTGGAGCCCTACACCATCTACGAGTTTCAGCTGATCTGTGTGAATCTTGCTGGAAGCAGCGAGCCTCTCGACTTTCCACCCCAACGAACCCTAGCTGGAAGTATGATCACTATTTAATACATGTATATTCATTCTTATGTCACCCTAAATGAAAGAGTCACGCATGTATTTTAGTGTATGAGTGGTCCCACATTTATTTTATGCATATCTTTCTTCATATATCCTTATATGAGTTTTTATTAAAGTTTAATGTGACCTTGTTTTTTTTTGCACAACAAAGACCCTTGCGTAGAAAAATTATTAGATGATAATTTTATATATGAATTTAACTAGTTTAACTAGCCTTCCAATTTGGTATCCTATTTTGCTAAGTCACCAAGAGAGGGGAACGATAATTATTTGTTGTGCAACGTTAATATGAGGCAGTACTTATTATTCAAATATCTAACCTTCAATCTATTTTTTTCAGGGACCATTAGATCCCTGATCTCAAGTTATGGTTAAGTCTTAAAATGCATGATTCAATTTTATTTCAGAGCCGTCTCAGCCTCAGAATGTGCGTATTAGTAGTATACAAGCAAGAGAGGTATTTGTAGAATGGGACGAGCCAGCGGATAAAAATGGACCTATCGATGGATACAGTCTCATAGCTAGACGTCGAGATCTCAATAATGTAGCTTTCTGTAAGTCCTAGTTAACATTTGTTAGATTCACAATTTTAACATATATATTCACAGATATGTGAATACTAACGTAGCCATAATTTATAATCCATATGAGATATAGATTTAAAAAACTTCCTGGACATATATTTTATGAGACACTCTATTTGTATGCAAAATGGCACAAACATAACCCAGCCTTTTTAAGGTTAAGTGATGGAATACGAGATCTAGTATTGAAAAATGATCAAATGTTGTGAGATCTGTAGGAAGTGTTGATTTATTTGTAACTGTTTGTGAATCACTGGTTTGATCCTAATTTTGGCTCTGTTTTATTATTTTATAACTTTATATTCAGGGCCTTAAAAAAAATCAAATGCAAAGAAGGAAAGGGCAGCGGCAAAGATTTCTGCACATATTGTGTTAATTTTTGTTGCATGTCCACATTGCATATGGTGCCAAGAATTTTAAGAGGGAAATAAGCTGTAATTTTTTTTAATTTTTAACTCTCTGAGAGGTTCGAATTCATTGTTTTCAATGGAAATTAGCCTTTTTATCAACTTTTCAACTAAATTTCTACCCAAGTATACTGTTATCTGAGATATTGCATTTTTGTCAGTTTGAAGAACCATGTGTGATATATTTAGCCGAAATAATAGAATCTTGTCCTGAATTGGAGAGTGTTTCTGTTGTACATTTATTTGGATCATATGGGGAATCAGTGAGCATCAACCTGTGCTTTGACAAGTGTGAGGGCAATATTGCTTTACAAAATGGGTTCTTGAATCTAGGCAATCTATTATGTCTCTTGAAAACATGTAACCGTGCATCATATACTTTCCTACCACGGCTACCATGCAAACAAAAATCTCGTAAAAAAGTGATATCACACTGCTAAAAGTCATAATGCATGGCTAAGAGGCACGTACATGTTTGCGTATCATTTTTCTCTCTTATATCGTTTATTACAGCTGGTCTTGGAAGCGGAACCAGCGGTATTTTTATACAGCTTACACCAAATACAGTCTACACAGTCAGTGTAAAAGTATTCAATCGCAACGCACCGGAAGGGAACCAGTTTAGTGAAGAATCACCCCACTCGGACCCTTTTACAACCTTACAAGCTGGTATGTCCATTAACGATAGATCCCGTAAATTGCTTATCAAAAGATTCATTTGAAACTTACATCTGGACAGGTATGCCTAATCAGAAAGGTCCGAATTCAAAAAGGAGGTTTGTCGACAAACCTAGGCTTATGTACGTCACATGACGCGTTTTGGCGTTTTTACAAACCTGGGTTTGTATTTATCAAAACGCGTCATATGACGCACATAAACCTAGGTTTGTCGACAAACCTCCTTTGTGAATTCGGGCCAAAGAGGTAGAGGCAGAGTGTTTAGATAATTGATTATTGTATGACTAGTTATTTCTGTGAATTTTTGCGAAACAGTCATTGATCGCGAATTTAACAACACGTGAAAAGATTTCCAGCAAATTATGTTGCATGTCACAATCACTAAAGCAAGCCGTATTGCATGTCGCGCACAGCGTGTTCACACTTTAGCATGAGCCAACACTTGGCCATGTAGTGCAGTTTGAGATCACATTGATTGTAATTGGGGTGCTTCAATAAATTTTGTTCATTAAATTCTCCCGAAATAAATATATTATTACGATACTCGGGAATGAGTTCATGATCCACGTAAATAGAATGATAATAAATGAAAAATATATAATGGGTAGTTGTTGTGGATTTACGCAAATTTATAACCACTTGCAATTTTTCCTCGACCCCTTGATCTTCAAGAAAAATATCTTTACACAAAAATTTAATATTGGCTTATACTGTATCGGAAATAAAAGAGGTGTCTCAGGAATGTTTATGTACGTCATATGTGATTTAGTTATCAGAATAAACCATGAATTTTCTACAGATTCATTAATTCCTCATTTTAAACATAGCAGATCAGTGAAAAAAACTGTTGATGCAATTCATGATAATAATGAAGTTGAATGAAGGCGGGGCATATTGGAGATGCAGCCACCTATTTTATTCTGCCATGGTGGTAGAAATGGGGCTTTATAAAGAGTCCAACTTTCTTCTCTTACTGGGGAGCATTCAAGCCCGTCATAATGTACAATGTTTAAAGATTCAAGTCAACATAATGTTGGCGTTCCATAAAGTCTGGGATACCTATTTATTACATATTGGCAGAGTAAAACATTATGAATATAAATGCTGTGCCGGGAAAAACTGCAAAACCTTATGCTACGTTTACACTATGTTCCCGGCGGCCACGGCAACCACGTTTCGGGCCACCGTGGGCGAAACGGGATTGACGTGACACAACGCGGAGGACCGTATGGGCAAACGTAGTAAAATAATAATAATAATAATAATAATAATAATAGCCTAATAGTCCACTCCAAATTTTATTAAACCGAAACAGAAATTCTTTTTGCCCAATTGATCGTGAGCCCAGCAGCCACAGAGCAGCACCAGATCGACGTTGCTCTATCCCTTATTGTTGAACGCCAAACAAGGTAGCAACAACTCCCATCTTTTAACGTCTTGTGGTATGACGCGGCCGGGGTTCGAACCCACGACCTCCCGTTTGTGAGGCGGACGCTCTATACTGACTGAGCCAACACTCCAGTAAAACGGGGTGAACGTAACAAAACGTGACAGTCCGTAATAGACCGTAACAAAACTTGCAGGTGGTCCGTAGTGGGACGGGAGGCCCACACATTCCCCGGCATCTTACGGTCTTTTCAAGTTTTGTCACGTTCTGCCACGCTTAGTGCACGTTTTGTCATGATTAAGATGAACGATATGGTTACACGGTTGCCCATGAAGTTTGAACATTGTGTTTGGTTTTGGTTTGGTTAATGACTCCTTTACAAGTGCATTTCGTTTCTTTGCTTCTGCATTACTCCTCCCCTCTGAGTTAATCAACCTCCAAGGTAGTATTATTGTTTTACTTTTTTAAACCTCTTCTCCATGCATGTACAAATTACATCTAGGTGCATCTTTCTTGGGGGCACTGGTGTCATGAAATATAAGGATGCCTTGCTAAACCAAGGAGATTTATTGTTTGAAATTTTGAATCTGCCAAATTTTCAGCGTGTGGGTGTAACGTGCTGGAATTGATTGCACTAAAGTTGTCCATACTTTAAAATAGGAGATTGCGCGGTTTGAAAACGACAACTAATGTTCTTTGTGTGAGAAGTGTGCATTTTGTCTGTCTTCGCCCTCGTCATATATATATATTTCTTTGTCTGTGGACCCGCACGGTTCCTTTTGATCATTTGATAATATTAACGCATGCATGATCAACAAGATGAATGCACGCTTTCTATTCCCAGTCCCCTTCAACCCGCATTTTCACAATGTCTGTTTACCATTCATATTCCGCTTTCAACTTCATGCTATGAGCCGAGTTCAGAAGTGGAATTTCCTATTTCTCATTTTTCATTCGTTGGTCTTGTCCTCCCCTTGTGCATGTGCTTCTTTTCCCCAAACCTCTATTCTAGTAACATATTCGTTTGTTCTTGTGTTTTTTCCGTTCCTAGACTCATAATTCTCTCTATCAGGTTCATGTAGGCATATCATTCTTGTATGGCCAAAAAATTAAAAACAAACTGAAGGTTGAACCCCCCCCCCTGGAAGAAAAAAACGTGTAAAAACAAGTGGGGGGGGGGGTTGCAAATTTTCAAATTTTCGAGAGCCAACAAAAAAATTGTTCTCACTACCCCCCCCCCCCCCTTGAGCGCCAGGGGGGCATCCCCCCTTTAAAAAAAAAAAGGTAAAAAAAATCACGTGAATTTTCCAATTTTCGGGAGCAAAAAAAACATTAACAAAAAATAGTGCTCACCAATACTACAACTAAGGATCTTACATTACGAATGACGAAATTGCCAGAAACGTTCTGGGATTATCAAGTGCATATTATTTTCGGATAAATGTCTTTTCTGGTCTAATTAATATCATAGTTTGCCTTTTTAAAGACATTTTAATGCCTAAATCACCCTCCTTTTCGCGGAGAGGCGCCTGCAGTGACGTCATAAACAGTTGCGCAATACAGCTCCAAAACTGGGCTTTTTTTCTGAGCGCTCTGAGTCGTCATTTTTAAAGCTAGATTCCAAAATTATTAATGATTTCTAAGAAAAATCATTGTCAAGTTCGGAATCTCGGTCAAAAATTATTCTACATGTCTTTTTTCATTTTTTAGCCCGTTTTGTTTAGAGTGGCCTTTTAAGACAATGAATTGGGTTATCTTTGTTCTTGTGTTCTCGTTCTTCTCACTCTCTCTCTATCTCTCTCTCTGTCACTCTCTCGCTCTCTCTGATATATAATTAAAGAAGTAAATGAACTTATACTTGATGACCCAAAAATAAACATATAGAATTAGAATGCAATTTTATCATGTCAGAGAACAGAGGATCACTATATTAACAATCATGATTTTCAACAAAGGAAGTAATATACACTACAAAAGAAAGTATACAAAAGTGAAAGGGGAAAAAGCCCAGGTCATGTTTGATTGTTAACAATGCAGGGTAATACTTCATATTATTCATGATAAAATACGTGGTAGACAATATACAAATGCTCAATCTGAATATATTTTATTTCATAGAAACGGCTTGAAAATACTTTTAAAAATTCCAGTCTACATTGCTTTCTGTAATATCTTTGCTTACTTATGATATAAATTCATAATCGTAATCACTATTTTACTACTAATCGTATTTTATCGGGAAATCTCAGTTATGCTCCAATGCCTTTTTGTTCCATCTAATACTTTGTTTCATTCTTCCAAAAACATTCGATACATTATTTAGATTAAATGTTATGTGAAGATGTGATTAATTAAAATGATCGCAAGGACTTTCCGAAAGATCAATTTAAGAAAATTGTAATAGCATATTCCGTCATTGATTGAAATGAATATGCAGATAATCTGATGACGTATCATGTAATCGGAACATGATTTATATAGGATACACAATAAAGTATTTAAATTACCCTTGGGTTGATTTCTCAAAAGTCTCGTGTTAATAATTTATCATCTTTAAATTTAGAAAGCAGTGGCACGCCTGTGACTTTGACGATCGTTTCTGTAACCGTGATTCTTGTCCTCATCTGTGTCATCATGATGTTCATTTGTATTCGTAAACGCAAAAGGTAAATTGGTGTTAATTTCGTTTATTTTATGGCTTACTTCGAATCATCGGATCATCGCGTCCGGTCGGGTGGTCGCGTTACACGATCTTTCGTAGATTTGTCGTTTGTCTTAGCGTTTTCACAAAGTGCCGTGTAAATTAGAACACACCATTTGTAGATGAGAGGGGTTTATTTTACAAACATCCCCCCGACATTTCGTGAATAAAGGGCACATTTTCACAAAAAGTCGGGTAACGCGACTACGCGACGCGAAGACCCGATGATTCGACGAAAGCCGTTATAATCAATGCAAATACTAACGAAACAAAGAAAAGAAAGGGAAGAGAAATTGAGGGAGAGAAAGGGAGAGAGAGAGAGAGAGACAGTGGAAATGAGAAAGAGAGGTAGAATAATGCCCAAGAGGACCTCTCATTAAGACCCCTCGGTAGAACAGCCGTGCTGTCAACTTATATTCAAGGGGGCGAAGGAAAGATGGCAAGAGAGGGGTGGCGAGAAAGAAAGAGAAGAACATAGGAATTAGTGTAACAAAATTTGTTAAGCATACATATGGATCTTTAAAGGCATCGTTTAACAATGTTAAATCTGAGATGCATGGCCCTACGTGTTATCAATGTATGTGATATGGTGTAATATTGAAGCCCTAAACATATTTGAGTGCCGGTTTTACCATACTCATTTTCCCCATTTCGATTTCCAATCATAAATATCTAGATAATCAGACAGGCAATCGACTGACCTAAAGGTATATCATTATGATTGCAGCATGAGCTAAATCCAGGATTTTGTTTGAGAATCTGAGGCAAAGTTTTTTTTTTTTTTTTTTTTTCTCTTCAATAAAATCATCTTTATTCAATATTGCTTTCGACTTTGCAAAACATAACAAAACATATATGAATATGCATACATAATATAACTAATAGAATCAACAACAAGAATATAGCTGATTATACAAGACATGGTGATAATTTTTTTTGAATATTCTTTAAAAAAAAACACAAGGTTTGTCCACCTATTATCAAATGATATTTTTAACATAAATGTATTGTTCAAGGGAACGATAATACCTTAACATGCATTTAAAAGAATTAAGTGAGAGTACGCTATTTTTGCATTTGTTGGAAAATATAAAGTATTTGGCTTATAAAATAATAAAATTAAATTGGACTCCAACGTTTCCATAAAACCCAAATAAGAAATTAATTCTATTCAAAGTAACTTTATCCTCTAAAATGAAATGTTGGACATCCGCAATAAACCTTCTAATGATTGGGCAATTCCCAACAAAATGTTCTATAGATTCCACGGAGCTATAACAAAATGAATATAAGTCTGACTGCGAAATATTTAATAATTTAAGATATTCATTAACACCAACTATACGATGTATTATCTTAAACTGAAAATAACGGATCGTATAGATAAATATGACCTAACAGGCACTAAGAAAATTTTAGCCCAGTCTATGTTTGGGATATTAAACAGAGAATTCATTTATCTATTGATTAAGGGGGACTAAAAACCTGTTGAACACTTAAATTATGAATATATCGACATATCTTCGTTACCTTCATTATATTTGTAATCATTTCCTCTTGAGCTTTTAGGTCTGCTTCTGAACATTTAGGGATATTATTTTTCCAATTGTGGGGAATAGCCGTTTTCACAGAATCAAATTCTACAAAATTGTATTCAAACTTATATTTGTTTCTTAATTGAAAGAAGGTAAAAATATTACCATTTTCGTCAAGAAGATCTGATAATTTAATTATACCTTTGTAATACCATAACTTTATAAACAATAATTTGTTGTTTCCACGAATTATAGTGTTGTTCCATATATCTTGTCGTCTGATATGGGAAGGAATGATTTCCGTATCGAGTGCTAAAGAGCCCATGACTGGGCAACTTCCCGAATAAAAATGTTTTTTATCGACAATATACGAGAATCGTTTTTATTAATTTTACTATACCAGAAAAGACTTCCTCCAAATGGAGCCAAACAAACTTCATAAAAACATTTCTATTGCCCAACATTACTATCGTCAAGCAGACGTTTAACCCAGGCAATCTTTAAGCCTGAAATAATTGAGGGTAAATGTAACATTCTCAGACCTCCGTCTACATAGTCTCCAATTATTGTTGTACGGTTTATTTTGTCTGGTGTTCCATTCCAAATAAATTAAACAAGTAAAGACTCGACCTCTTTTTAGAGGGCTTCAGGCGGTTTTGGAAGGATCGAAAGTAAATAAATTGGTTGGGACAATCCCAATGATTTTACGATAGCAATCTTTCCAATGGGAGTTAGGTTTCTAATTGACCAAATACGGAAAAAAATCTATTTTTTTGTAGTTGGGGTGGAAAGTTTAATTCAAAATAGTCTTTCAAATGCACCGAAAATTGTACACCCAGAAAAGTAGTAATACCTGTATTGAACGTCAAACCAGACGAAGCAATGTCCGAAGGGTAAGCTTTATAATAACCCAAAATTAACAGCTTTGATTTATTTCTGTTTAATACAAGTCTAGTGACACATTTCAATCCTTCTATCATATCTAAAAACTCTTAACAAATCGTTACGGCCTTCCAGATATAATACCGTATCATCAGCATAAGCATTTATTTTAATTTCTGTGCCGTTATTTTAATTCCTTTAATCAAGGTGTCTTTTCTTATCTTGAGACTCACTATTTCATATTTTAAGGAGTGGACTTAACGGACAGCCTTGTCTTACCCCGCATGTTACTTTGAAATATTCAGAGGCAAAACCATTGTTAATAACACATGAGCTCACATCATTATATAAAACTGTACTCCAGTTGACTAAGTCGATGCCAAAATTTGAAAACCGTATCGTTTTCAGTATAAATGACCACTCTATCTTATCTAGTGTTACCAAGTAACTTTAAAGAAGAAAAATAATAGATTTTATTCATATAATATCATTACTCTCGTAGCATGCAAAGACCGATTATAATGTCAGTGTGAATGACAGTCACAACAAACAGGTTATAATTCTTTATTCGCTGAATAAATCACAGGTGAGAAGTTTAACCTCAATGTCTCTGTAAGTCTAATTAATTATCTATCCTTGGTAATCTCTTCTTTTTTTGGTCCATAGATCTCAACAGCAAGGGAACAGGAGTTCTCCCATCGCTTCGGCAAGCTTCACCACGACTCCCCGTATGTGCACACACTTGTTACCCGCAAATTCACCAACAAGCTCAGGAAAACAACAAGTAGACGATGTATATCATGAATATGAAAGGGTGTGCGTTTGCGGGCAGGACTCGTCGAAATCGAGCACCCGTGCAAACCAAGGAACGAGTCAGGGAATCTCCTTGACCAAGACGAAGTCGACGTCGGAAAACGACCAGTCGCATGATTATGAGAATCCGTCCTTCGACGATAAGGAATATACTAACCTTGGTTTCTCTCAAGTCAAGAAGGGCGGTGATCCAACGAAGCCGACGTCCTCCGGTAAGGAATATACTGATCTTGATTTCTCTAAGATCGAGTAGGGCGGTGATCCAATGAAGTCTTTTGACGGTAAGGAAGATGTTGATCCGGCCTATGAAGTTTGTATCATATAGAATGTAAATCAAATAGATTTCAAGTCTTTTACAAAATCGAATTGCATCAATATATACACTTGAAATATATATTGAAGACAGTCGTGGGGATTATCATAACAAAGAGAATTACCTTATGAAATCATTATTTTGTTTGCGTAAAAGATTTATTAAAAGTATCTATAATGCTGGAGTACCATTAAACCCGTTGATTAAAAACATAATTCTAAAAAACAAAATCACGTTAGCCTTTTATTATACTACACCACAGACGTGTTAAATGGAAGATTCCAACTAGAGGGTATTTTATTCAATAACCAAGATGAACAGTCCCTTTCTTTTGTATCATTTCATTAAACGATACAGTTATATAATAAAACAAGCTCCTTGGTTTTACCGATACTGAATGCTGAAATAATTATCTTCATGACTGGACTATGAGTGACTAATGGAAACCCTGTTAGGAGTAAGTTGATTCGTGGTTATGAACTTAAAACGAATAATAAGCGCATGGCTTGCTTTGACTTTCTCTAATGTCCGAGTGACTCTTTTATGAATAATCCCTCTTTTTAGTACTAAGCCGCTTTCTTTTTTGTATATTAATACCTAGGGTTGTTGATCCTTTATTTTCATCGAGAGATTATTTAATGAAATGGTCGTGAGGAATGGTGCCACATTCCTGTAATTGTTGACAACTCCTGAAAAGGGTCAGTGGCCCTGAGATTTAGCATATATACGTAGAAATATTTTTTTCCTTTTTGTAGTAACTGCAGTTTTGGTCTATGATTGAATTTCAAACTGAAAGGTTTGAGAGGGCAATTTATATTCAAGTAATATATGCATGTATGTACTTAAAACAATCTCTTTTATTGATTCTATATTTTGATTCGTCATGATTTCGTACTCTTTTTTGTCTTCAAATTGGTTTTAAATGTGTTGATGGATGAGCAAATAAAATGACGGGATTTCCATTTTAGGTGGATGATATCCAATAATTGCTGTTTGTTACAATTTACAAATTGCAAATTTACTTTGTTTTGACATGTATATATTCATGTATTGTTCAAACACAAAGGGAAGCACAAACAAAAGTACAGGTTACAGGTTTTAATTCAAAGAACAAGTACAGGACAACATAAACTATACAATGAAGACATAGTACATATTACATATAAACATACAACACTGAAACATAAAATATACATAACAAGTTTTTGTGTAACAAATTGGAAAATCATTACTATAATGATGATGATGATGATGATGATGATGATAAAGATGATACTATTCATAATAGTAATAATAACAACCATAATAATAACAATAATAACAATAATAGTGGTGATGATTGTAATATTAATAGTGGATTTTTTGTATAGCGCTAATGCCTGTCAGACTTGATACTCAAGTGTGAGGAATCATTTTTTAGATTCAATGATATTCATGATTATAATATCGCACAACTTGATCTGATGCTTCACATTCAGCTTTTTAATTTTTGTTTTTATTGTAGCCGTCGGTAAGGGGAATAAGGGATAGATATACTCATTCATGGAACTTTTCGATCTTGACATTGTTGGTTTGGTGTTTGGGCTAGAATTATACTCAGAATTAAAACGAAGATACTACATGCTCTGAAAAATATGTTTTTACGTTTTCTTTTGTTCTTCTTGTGTATGTATCTAGTGACACGTGATCAAAGTCCACATGTTATTGATGAAACAAGAATTACTGCTACCAAAAATACATAACTTAAGGTGACGGATACACAATAATTTTTTTGATCTAGAGATTATTAGGCGCCCGGATATGTTTTCACATCGATTAAAATTTCGTGTCAGTAGACGAGGGAAAGGGAGGGTAAGATGATTTGAAAATCTTTTGAATTTATGATTTCACTTGACCTCTGTATGTCAAAGAAAAAATATTGAGCCTTATTAAGAGAGAAAAAGGAGGGGAGAATGAGAAAGAGAGAGAGAGAGAGAGTGAAAAAAGGAAAGTATATTATCTTTAAAAGAGTTTACAGATTAAAAGGAGGTAGAGAGGGAGAGAGTGAGTGAGAAAGAAAAGGAGGTAAGGAGAGAGAGGGTTGAGAGAAAGAAAGTGAAGAACAGGGACAAACATAATCTAAGAAAGAGTGTAAAGAAAAGAAGGTAGAGAGTGGAGGGGCAAAAGGGAAAGAGAGAGGGGGAGGGTTGAGAGAAGAAGGAGAAAGAGAGAGAGAGAGAGAACAGTAGGAAATACAATTTTAGAAAGATTTTGAAGAGATGGAGGATGAGAGAGAGAGAGAGAGAGAGAGAATGAGAAAGGGATGGGTGATAAGGAGTAAGAAAAACAGAAAGGGGGATACGGGGGGAATAAGAATGAAAATGAAAGGAGGTTAAACAAAATACGGGGAAATAGAGAGGAAGACGGATGGAATTGTAACAACTAGAAACAAAATGCAGAGGGTCGAGGACGCTGAGGGAAAGAGACAGCCAGACTTTATCCACGTATATGATACCCTTTACAATCTATGTTAAATCTGTGGAATGACCCATCCATTCGGTATCCGATTATTTACTATTCCCCATAGTTTAATAGGAAGTGTATGCAAAATCACAAAATGTATTTTTGTTTTGCATTGTGGTTAAAATTATGACGCACAAAACCAAGTCCGGTGTATTGATTGTTCGAATTTTGAAGCCGAATATTCAGACACTTTGTTCCGTTTTCTGACTCATTATAATTTGACCTCGTTCAACCAATTCAGACAATAAATATGATGTCGCTTTTATAACAGTCAATCAAGCATAACCTAAGAAAATATTCTCTTTCGATATATTGTCGCCGAATCTAAATTTGGTAATGATGTCAACATAATAAGTATGATATCGCATACAATTTGAAAAATAGGAGGGAAACTTACTTATTCTTTTCTTCATTTGTTAGGCCTTCCTTAAATAATTCAAATCACTCAACTGTGACACGGGCATTGATGTTTATTCGTCAGAGATATGCCCCAGCCATTCCAACAGCCGGTTGGTTTAAAATCGATATGGAGTCGAATCGGTGGTGTGACCGAGGTATTCATCTTGCCTATAAGGCTCAAAAAATTAATTGTGAGAATCTGAATTATTCTTGATGGATTAATTTATATCTTTTCATAACAATATAGATCAATCTCTATGACCTTGATCTCTTGGTAAATACGATTTGCAGAAGATATCACAGTTATCTATCACGAACAAACAATATTGTCACAACCATTTCATGGAAAAGGGTAAGACAAAGGCATTTCCTCTTTATAGCATAGCATAGTAGGCAAAGTTTGTATAATATGTCCCAGTAAAGTATACCTAAAATGAGATGTGAGGCCTGCGGTACCAAATAACAAAATCACATTGATCTAAAAAGCTGCTATATTAATACTGACACAAATATTTGAAAATGAAAATATGACAATTGTCACATCAAACACAGTAATCACATATTTCTAGAATAAGTGTATTCGAACTATGGGTATTCCTACTGAACGCCCATTAAGGTATAGTTTATGTCATAGATAGCGGTGTCATGTGGTGATTCATACACAAATATTGACAGCAAAATTCATATTGTTCTAAATATAGAGGTATGTTTGCGCTGAGTTATTTAGACCAGCAGTAAAATCATCAGTTAATATTAACTTTAAGCCATCAGACATTATGAAACAGATTTTGGCCCTCGATAGATCGGAACTAAAACCGTCGTTTTAAAAGATATAAACTTTAACTTTAATTTCTATATTTACGAGAGATTCTTTCACACAATCAGCAGATGTCAATTTCATATGGTCAAGTTGTTATGCGCTATGTATTGAGCTGTCAATCCATTATACCACCTGTGCGGCGCCACGAATACCTTTCATATTGACCATGCCCTTCTGCATTAACTTTTTCCCACGCCCAACCCCCCCCCCCCCACTCAGTGTTATTTAGGTTACGCATATGCGTGTTCCCAGCGACCCCCCCCCTCATTTTCAGCAAAAGTCCGGTGTGTAAAGTCAATACGGGTCGACCTTTTTCTTTTGTTATACGAGCCTTTTTCAGCACCCCCCCCCCCCTTTCAGCAAAAATCCGGTGTGTTAAGTCAATACGGGTAGACCTGTTTCTTTAGTAACGAGCCGGAGAGTTTGGGAACAAGCATGGTATCCCTCCGTTCACGGAGTGGGGGGGGGGGGGGGCAAACACACAGTAGCGTCTTTAACTACGTATTTCGTATACAAACATATGGAGATCTCACCCCTGTACATATACATGATTGTGTGCGTAGAGCGCACACATATGCATGACTTGAGCACTCACGAGCCATACACACACACACACGCACACACACACGCACGCACACACACACACACACGGAAAAGCACCAATTTTGACCAGTTTTGGATTTTCATGTTGTACTTACGCTTCTCTAGGGCACAAGCATATTGCTTGTAAGGTTTCCTCCTCATTACTGTCGATTAAGTTAGCACCCTTTGTATTTAATGACGTGCATAAAATCGTTTTTATTGTTTTGATACCACCTATCCATTGAATATATGTATATGTTTTGTTACATTGTATATGCGTTACTTTGTAAATACTTTTCATATGCAGTTAATGTTGAAATAAAACCTTTAAAATGTTGTAAACTAGCCGCACATAGATCTCTCGTTCCTTAACATGATTAGCCTTAACGGCTTAGTGATAATGTACAATATGATATTGATATCACTTCGCCTTAACCTACACCAATATCCCTGCGTGGAAACTTGGAAAGGCATGTAAACAAAACCTTAAAATGCGTCCAAAATCACCCCTTCCGCTCCCGTTGCCAATGTGATACTTTAAGAAATCTAAATCAGGAACAAAACCTCGTAAGAGTATTGCTAATTTAGTTGTTAACTGTGTGTATGTACTGTTTACTGTGCAGTTACAGCACGGATC